TTGGGTTGGGGATGTCTCATGATGGGTTCTGGACGCGTCATTTTTGGTTGAGGATGCGTCTTGTTGGGTTGAGGACATGTCAGGTTGGGTTGGGGACGTGTCACGTTGGGTTGAGGACGTGCCACGATGGGTTGAAGACACCTCATGATGGGTTGAGGATGTGTCATAATGGGTTGAGGACATGTCATGTTGGGTTGAGCATGTTTCATGTTGGGTTGAGGACGTGTCACGGTGGTTTGAGGACACACCATGATGGGCTGAGGACGTGTCACGTTGGGTTGGGACCACCACAGGGCTGTAGGGATGGTGGCCAACACCCTCTCGGTGCAGCCCCCGGCCCACTCTGGGCACTGGTGGCTTTCCTGCCCCCTTCCCTGGGCACCAAGGGCGGTTGGATTGGGGCAGCTCCACGGGGTCGTAGGGTTGGGGGCCACCACCATGGGCTCGACCCCCGTGCCCTGGAGATCTCCCTGCAGCCAACGCTCCCGGGGCCGGGTCGGAGAGGAGAAGGCTTTTTTTGGGGAGGGGGGACAGCGAGGGTGGGTGGCAGCTCCACGCTGGGCTGGGAGGACCCTTGAGGGACGGGCCTCACCTGAGCAGACCACGCCGGCGTCCTCGTGGTTGCGGTGTGGTACCCCCAGGGCCCGGGCCCGACACTCCACGAGGGTCTTCTCCCCACCCAAGCAGGACACCTTGTCCAGCCAGATGGGGTCCGAGCCCCTCCCGAAGGAAGCCCCGGTGGGGGCCGAGACGGGCTCCCCACAGCCCAGCTGCCTGCAGACCACCCGGGCGTCCTCCAGGTCCCACCCATCGTCGCAGACCGTGCCCCACTGGTGGTCGTGGAGAACCTCCACCCGCCCCGCGCAGCCGTGGGGACCCTCCACCAGCCGCAGCGTCGACGCGTTGGTGGCACTGTTGTCTGGAAGCAGCAGAGAAGGGTCACGAGGGGTTGGGGACAGGTCATGAAGGGTTGGGGACAGGTCATGGTGGGTTTGGGACAGGTCCTTATGGATTGAGGACAAGTCATTATGGGTTGGTGACAGGTCATGGTGGGTTGGGGAGAGGTCATGGTGGGTTAGGGACAGGTCATTATGGGTTGGGGACAGGTCATGGTGGGTTTGGGACAGGTCCTTATGGATTGAGGACAAGTCATTATGGGTTGGTGACAGGTCATGGTGGGTTGGGGAGAGGTCATGGTGGGTTAGGGACAGGTCATTATGGGTTGGGGACAGGTCATGGTGGGTTTGGGACAGGTCCTTATGGATTGAGGACAAGTCATTATGGGTTGGTGACAGGTCATGGTGGGTTGGGGAGAGGTCATGGTGGGTTAGGGACAGGTCATTATGGGTTGGGGACAGGTCATGGTGGGTTTGGGACAGGTCCTTATGGATTGAGGACAAGTCATTATGGGTTGGTGACAGGTCATGGTGGGTTGGGGAGAGGTCATGGTGGGTTAGGGACAGGTCATTATGGGTTGGGGACAGGTCATGGTGGGTTTGGGACAGGTCCTTATGGATTGAGGACAAGTCATTATGGGTTGGTGACAGGTCATGGTGGGTTGGGGAGAGGTCATGGTGGGTTAGGGACAGGTCATTATGGGTTGGGGACAGGTCATGGTGGGTTTGGGACAGGTCCTTATGGATTGAGGACAAGTCATTATGGGTTGGTGACAGGTCATGGTGGGTTGGGGAGAGGT